TCTATCTATCTATCTATCTATCTATCTATCTATCTATCTATCTATCTATCTATCTATCTATCTATCTATCTATCTATCTATCTATCTATCTATCTACCTACCTATCTACCTACCTATCTACCTACCTATCTACCTATCTACCCATCCATCCATCCATCCATCCGTCCGTCCATCTCTCTCTCTCTCTCTCTGGTGGCAATCTTGAATTTAAATTACTCCAATCATCTAATCCTTTATAGATTATATTTTGTTAACAAAGACAATTACATACAAACAAAAACATTACATCATCTCTCTGCAACCTTTGATAAAGATTACGAGTGTCCTGCCTCTTGAAAGCAACATACAAACACAGTAGAAGTGGTTTAAAACTTTTGACTGTGCTACATTTATTTTCATTGCATGCACAGACAGACAAACAAGTAAACAAATTGTTTCACTCTTCCTTCTCAGGCTGAATGGCTGCTATGAGGCTCTAGAGGGAGGGAACACTGCCGAGGCCCTCATCGACTTCACCGGGGGGGTTTCAGAGCCGCTCAGTCTGGACTGCCAGGCCCTCAGCCTGCACAGCGACCAGAGGAAGACGCTTTTCCAAACCTTGTCTGAAGTTCATGAGCACAAATCCCTCATCACCTGCTCTATACGTGTAAGGCTGCTTTATTTATCCTGGAACTCCAAAGATCTTTGTTGTTTCAGACTGGATTATCAATTTAAACATTTTCTGTGTTTTCCTCGTCTCAGCCAGCTGAGGGGGAAACTGTGGAGTCGGCGTTGGTCTGCGGGCTTGTGAGGGGACACGCCTACGGGATCACAGCGGTGAGGAAGGTGAGGCTGGTGGAGAGGCTGCTGAGGGCCGGCAGGACATCCCGACTCTTCCTGGTGCGCATGAGGAACCCGTGGGGCACCACAGACTGGAGGGGTGCCTGGAGTCAGGGGTGAGGACGTGTTGAACTCATCGCATCTGGCTTCTGGTACTTTGTAGGAGCTTTAGGAATAAAAACCTCAGCTGACAATGTGCTGTACAACTATTTTACAACGCCACTGCAACCTTTCTGGACAATTTCAGGCATTTTACAACAGTTCGGGAAACGTTTTACAAGTGAACATCTGCTGTTTATGTTATGAGAGTCTGAGAAACAATGAAATTAGGCTCAATGGACTAGTTAAAGGTTTTCCAGAAGTTGAAAACATCTTTGTATATTTGTACAGTCATGGGAAACAAAACAGTTCTCCTTTTCTCAAATCGAGAGTTTTATGTTTCAGGACAGGATGAAAATGATTTGGTCTTTATTACATCCTAAAATTATTGGGGACTGCCTAGTAAGAGGCAGCACCTATTATTATCCACCTAACAAAGGGTTTCTTAACTTTATATTTTACTCTTCTGTCAACTTTACTACGGCCTGAACCGCAATGTGTACCCCCACAAATACCGAAACGACTGGCTTGGCATTGTGATGTGTGCTATTACTTTTATTGGCGTTTCGAGTTACCATGGCAAAGTAGTTCGCAAACTAAGAAGCCATTTTTTTCATTCAAAATGCCTGACTGAACTCAACAGCTTCTAACTGATATAACTCAGTCATTCTTTGAGATATTGAGCTGAAATTGTCTCTGGTCGTAGCTGAGAGCAAGTTTCACACATTCCTAATGCAAATCAAAAATCCAAGATGTCCGCCTGAGCTGAAAAAGTACAAATACTCTAAATCAGCTAATTTTTAGAGATATTGAGCTCAAGTTTTGTGTAGTGATAGCTGAGAATGTTTCCCATCACATACTTTATTCAAACCAAAAAAATCCAAGATGGCCACCAATGCTACATTTAAATTCATTCATTCATTCAACCTTTATTTAAACAGATAAATCACATTGAGCCTCGAAGTCTCATTTACAAGTGAGACCAGTTTGGACAGACAATAAAAAGTGGTGAAAAATGACGCATAGGATTTGGAGACAAAAAAAATTCCTAACATGCTCTTAATCTTTGGCTGAAGGTTAACAGCGTGATAAAGAAAAGAAAAATCTTGCACAACAAGCGCCATGATGCCGACATTCTGTGGGGGGGAGGGGTGGCAGGATGAAAGGATGGTGAGCCTGTCCAGAGACAACACACAGAGGCTTTAATTCAGCCATTTTTACACAAACAGTGCTGAAATTCTGTGTGATTATTAGTGGTGTAACAGTACACGTGGATGTATTGAACCGTTTCGGTACGGCATGTTCGGTTCGGTCCACGTGCGTACCGGTGTGCTTATTTTTTCACTCGTTTAATTTCATTAACGAGAGATTATGCGCCGCAGAACTAAAGTTCCTAAGCGTAATTCAGCACGGCGCTATAGTCTTGCAGCACGCGTAGCATTAGCATTCTAGCATCTCGTTACGGTCTCCTGTTTGGGAACATTATGACTTTCTTGTTAAAAGACAAGCGCAAATCCAAACCTGTGTGTTGACCTTGTTTCACGGAGATTGGATCTGCAGCAGGCAACACGTCTAACTTGTTAACGCACTTGAAACGACATCATCCGAACGTGAACACCTCTTCTACAGAATAGCAGCTTGGATGGTGCAAAGACCGATAACAGCAGCATGTAAACAATCTTCATCAGGTAATTCAGATCGGTCGAAAGCAATAACACAAGCTGTAGGAGTTTTTAACGCTCTGGATCTACGTCCGTATTCTGTTGCTGATGCGCCAGATTTAAAGTTATTGAGCCCCGCCACGACATCCCATCACGTCCTCACTTCAGCCAAAAAGTTGTAGCAGCACTTTATGAAAAAGCTAAAACTGATATTATCAACAAGCCCTGGACCAGATTAAAGCTCTGCCACATGATGATGACCGAGAGATTCAACCACCTCATAACAGAAACGATGACCGTCCAAGAAGAGGTATTGTTATTTTATTATTGTTATCTAATTAACTTTTTTAAATTTTAAAATTATTAACTCATTTTTTTTACCTCTTTGTGCTTTATTTCCAGTCTGGGACAGAGGTAGCAGCTGAGTCTTCTTCCTCTTCAGGGAAATCAGAGATCACCTCCAGCTAAGAAGTCTGTGATGACTGAGCTCTGAACTTTTCCAGGGACAGGTGGGAGCAGGTCCAAGAAGAGGCTGTGAGTAATGAGGCCAAATACAGCCACACTGCAAAATTAGCAAAGTGCTACCTGTTGTTAGTGAGCGGTTTTCTCCACCGCTGGAGATGATGTCATTGCAACTAGATCTGTGCTTTTGGCAGAAAATGTGGACAAGTTGGTGTTTTTTTGGCCAAAAACTTAAAACTTGTCTAGTTAGATTGTAAATGGTCTGTTGCTGCTTTTTGTTCTGGTTCTGACTGTTAAGATTTTTATTATTGTTAGTATACTTAATTCATTGTAAAGAGTGCCGTTTATTTAAAACATCATCCAAATGGGTTGCTTTTATTTATTGTAATACAAATGCATTGTTTACTTGGCATATTTTCAAAATAAACATTTTGTAAGTCTTCATTTTGTCTTTTTTGTACCGAAAATTAACCGAACCGAGCGCTCCTTGAAATTGAAAGGAACCAAAATGTGATTTTAGCGTACCGTTACACCACTAGTGATTATAGCTGAGAACATTCCCCCTCATATACTGAATCAAAATCAAAAATCCAAAATGACCGCCAAAGCTTCGAAGAAAAAATGATCATAACTCATTGATTTTTCTTTTGCCATATTGAGCTGAAATTTGGTACAGTGGTAGCTGAGAGCGAACCCCAACACACAATCCTGTTCAATCAAAAAATGTAAATTGGCAGCCGCATGGCAGTCCCCGTCAGAGTTTCTCCAGGAACTTTCTGGTTTAGTATAATTATTTCTGACTTTGTAAGTGAACAAAAACACACAACAGATTCAATCATGTTTTTATTTATTAAATAAAACAGTCAAAATGGAAACTTTTTGTGAAAAATGAACTCTATACCAGCAACTTGTAAATCCACTTAAGACTAAATTTCAGCAATTATTATTGTTATTATTTTCTGTAGGACTTTATCAGTGTCTCACATGATTGTGGTGAAATTCTGACCCACTCCTCTTTACAGTGTTACTTCAGTTCATTAGGATTTGCAGACATTTTGTTTTTGCTCAGCTCTCTTCAGGTCTCACCACAGCATTTCAATCAGACTGAGGTCTGACCTTTGACTGGTCTTTTGCAAAGCCTCAATTTTTTTTATTTTGAGCCATTCTGTTGTAGATTAGCTGCTGTGTTTGAGACCATTGTCCTGTTTTATGACGCAGTTTGGTCTGAAGCTGTTGGACAGATGGCCACATTTGACTCTAGAATATTTTGGGCTTGACACAATGATTGGAAGTCCACTGTCCGCCAAACAAGGGAAGTCTGAGATTGTCATCATTGTATGTTTCCATGCAACGATGAAATTAGTTCTCTGCATTTAACTCATCAGACCTGAGATACATCCAGGTGGAGCAGTGGGCAGCTATGCAAGCACCCGGGGAGCAATTAGGGATTAGGTGTCTTGCTCAGAGACACCACGACATGTAGGGATGGCTTGGAGTCGAACCAAGACTTTCTGGTCTCCAGTCGGCTGCCCTACTCGAAGCCCTGATCATCAGCATTCCACCACCGTGCTGGACCGTTGGCACAAAGTGATGTTGCTGTAATTGTTTTTCACCAAACATAGTGCTGTGATTTATGGGTAAACATCTCTTTGGTGTCATTTTGCACCAGACGTCTTGTGGCTCATTCAGAAACAACTCTGAGTCGTGCTGCCGTCTTGTTTTTAGAAAGATTTTCTCCTGCAAACCTTCAAAACAAGCGTACTTGCCAGACATGTTCTATTAATGCTGTCATGAACCCAAACATTTAACCTGCTAACCTTTAAAGTCTAAAATGGAGTTCTTGGCTTTTTATCAGTTTTTCTGAGCATTGCACTGTCTGGCTTTGGGGTGAATTTGTTACTACAGTGTGTCCGCTCCTGGAAAGACTGGCAGCTGTCTTAAATGTTTTCCACTACAGAAGTATTTCTCTTTGTAGAAAGATGAACTTCAGATTGTTTTGTAAACGACCTTTGACCCTTCCCAGATTGATTGGCGGCAACAGTTGCTTCTCTAAGATCATTGCTGATGTCTTTTCATCTCGACATTGTGGTGATACACTCCTGTCTGCTCCAGAGCAGCAAACTGATGAAACTCCTGCTGTGACAGAGGTGATCACACCTCAGTTGTTCAGTGCATCTGGTTGCTACGCTCCTTATTGAATCCTATGGAAGCAACAAGGATGGACATGACTGACATGACATGGCAAAGACCAGATCACTTTATCCTGTCCTGATTCACAAAACTCCAGAAGTGAAAGAGGGTGGACATTATGTCGTTGCTGCATTCCTCCTGCAGGTCAGAGCAGTGGCAGCAACTGAGTCGAGCAGAGAGGGAGAAGATGGGGCTCGTTGTTCGTGACGTTGGCGAGTTCTGGTGAGTCTTAACTCATACCTAAAGCTCAACGCACAATATTTTCGGTTTGACTTCATGCAGAAATCTTCTCGTTCAGGATGGATTTCCAGGACTTCTGCCGCTACTTCACTGATGTGGTGGTGTGCCGGCTGGCTGAGAGGACCCTGCTGTGGCCGAGCTCTCACTGGAGGGAGGTGAAGCGCTACGGGGAGTGGGTCCTGGCTCCCACTCCGCCTGTTGCACCTCCGTCCACAGCGCTCCACAGTAACACCGCAAACAACGCCAGGCCCGAAAGGACCGAGCAGAGGTGGAACCGAAGGGAGACCCCTCAGGGGGGAGGGAAAATAAAGAATTGTGAGAAAAGGAGAAGCGCAGATTTTGAAATAAATGGCTCTCAGGAGGTGCTGATGGACCGGAGGAGTCGATGTGGAGGATGTATCAACCACAGAGACACCTTTTTGCAGAACCCACAGGTGAGACTGAAGAAGAAACCTGCCTAAATGAGCACAAAATGCTGAAAATACACCCAACAAAAAGTTCAGTCAGGTCATCTGGATGTTTCTTTTTTTTTGTTGTTGTTGTTGAGATGTTTCGTTTTTCATCCAAAGAGGAGGAGCCACAACAAACTTAGTCCCACAAGCAGCACACTCATGGACCAACCAGTTTGTTGGATTCCAGCTGGTTTCCGCTGTTTCATCCTTTGGAAGAAGGACAAAACGTCTCAACATAAAAAGAAACCATCCAGATGACCTGACTGAACTTTGTTGGATTTTCTACCTGGATTATGGAGCATGAACTTTGATGTTTTGAACCACTTTGGCTATGGCTGCCTCAGAGGAGTCGATGCGGGAGAGGGCAGGCCCCAGAAACCATCTTATCACCAGCAAACTGGTTGGTTCACTATGTGAGTGTGCTGCTTGTGGAACTGAGTTCGTTTGTGGCTCCTCGGACTGATGAAGTCCTTTGGATGAAGGGTGAAACATCTTAGCAAGAAAAAAATAGACCATCCAGATGACTTGACTGAACTTTGTTGGATTTTTTTGCCTGGATTATTGAGCATGAACTTTGATGTAGAAAATGTTTTTTTTCTTCCTTAGTTTATGTTTGAGGTGCGAGGCAAAGAGGAGGAGGTGCTAATCTGCCTGCAGCAGGAGGACAGGAGGATCTGGAAGAAAAACGGCGGAGGAGAGAACCTACCAATAGGCTTTGAGGTGTTGAAGGTGAGCAGGTGACTCGTGAGCAGCTGCTGTTCTTCCAGCTCGTCGCTCATCAGTCGATGTGACCATGCCTCCTGCAGGTGGAGGTGAACCGCTGCAGCCGGGTGCAGTGTGTGGTGGAGCAGGCGGCCAGCTCCATCTACATGGACTCCCGCAGCGTGACGCTGAGGGCCACTCTGCCCCCGGGTCCATACGTCGTGGTGCCCACCACCTTCCTGCCGGGCGCCACCGGGCGATTCCTGCTGCGCCTCTTCTCCCACTCTCGAGTCAAACTCAGGTGTGTGAAAAACTCTGATGGAAGTGGGGGTGCAGAGGGTGCTACTGCACCCCTGGATGAACGCAGGTTAATCACTTAAAGAAAACAGATTTTATTTGTTTAGATCACAGTAATATTTGGATATTGATTGTAACTTGTGTATGTGAACCAGCACTCTTATTTTTAATTTTTGCTGTATTACAGTCTGATGGTGTATAATAGGCCATCTGCTGTACCCTTCTTTTTTTAAGGGAGCTAAAGGAGGAGCTGCCGTCTCCCTCTGTGCTGCAGTGTTTCCTACCTCAGCCCACAGTGGTGACCACGGTTCACCTCCGCAGGGCGTCGGGACTGCGCCCCCCCAAACAGACAGGTGGGTCAGCGCACACTCTCTTGTCACTTATGGTTTTGTTTGTGTCTCTGTGTGTTTATGTGTCTGTCTGTTAGCAAAATATCTCATAAATCACTGGACAACTCTTACAGAGTAATCACTGGATGTACCTTACAACTGAGTAACTTTCCAGATAAGCCCAATTCAAGATGGCTGCCACAGCTAAACAACATTAACCAACACAAAAAGGGCTCCAACCGAATCAGTTTCATAGATACTGAGCTAAAACTTGATGTGGTAGTAAGTGAGAGTCGTCCACAACCAGTACTGTGAGTGTTACATCACGTATAAAGTTATTTTCGAGGCTGCACCAAAGAACTGCAGCTCTGTTGGGAAAGGTTTCCAGCGACATGTTTTCCTTCTAGGCTTTGATTAGTTACACTGGTGATATTTTGAAACTTTTCGCTTCTCGTTCGAGGAGCTTTCTCAATTCAAAGAACAGAGGGTGTGGGGTTCGACTTATAAAAATGAGGTAAGCGAGATACATATGCAGATTGCCCTCTCACTCCTCACAATACGTGTTAGTTAGGGTCTTTGTTAGTCTGACTCACCGATAGGCCACTCTGGTCACATGGATGAAGTTCCTGATAGGAGTGAAAATGACTGGGTATCAGGCATAAAGCTGCATTATAGGTTTTTGGAAGTTGAAATCTGAGCCCCCCCTCCTCTGTTTAAAGATGGTTTCTCTCGTTTTATATAAATGGCTTCCTTCACTCCCCTCAAACCATTTGTCTTCTCGGTCCAAAATGTGAACATTATGGTCCTGAAATGAGTGTCACTTATCCTTGAGGTGCAGATGAACCGCTGAGTCTTGTCCTGAAGACGTTCTCCTGTGATGAGCCATGCGTCTGTGAAGAAGCTGTTTGGTTTCTCCAACATGGAGATCTGGACATTCCTCGCTGCACGGGACTGCATACACCACACCACTCTGTTTGTGTTTGGGTTTTTGTCCTTAGTACGGTGGCCCTAAGGTGTAAATGAACAAGATTTGAAAAAACAGAATTACATTTAAAAAAAATAAAATAAATGAAGGCAAAGCGGAAGTGGCCAAAGCGGAAGTGGCCAAAGCGGAAGTGGCCAGAATCACAGTAGAAAAAACGGAATAACATTTGAAAATAACAAGACAAAAACGGAAATTATATAATTATTTGAATGATTCCGTTTTTTCAAATGTTGTTCATTCACACCTCAAGGCCACTGTACCTTAGGGTGGACCAGCCTCTGTCTGAGAGTCCTGTTGGGTTTGAGATGTACTGGGATGTTGTGTTTTGAAGAAAGAATCCTTTTGCACTTCTCTGATGCTCCAGCAACATAAGGGACAACAATGTTTTTCTGTCTGTTACGTCTGTCTTTGATTAGTTCCATTATTGCATTGTGGGGTTTTGTGTGTGCGTGTGTTTGTGTGTGTAATTTGGGACCCTCAGCTCCAGATGTTTACGCTGTGGTTCGATGTGAGAGTGACACCATCAGGACGAAGGTGTTCAAGGAGGAGGGAAACCCTGAGTTCAACCTCAGAACCATCTTCTACCGACGATACCCCGACACTCACATCTCTGTGGAGGTTCGACATCCTCCCAGGTTCTGCCAGAAACTCAAACGGGTCAAAGTGTACTGGATCACTAACTCCAGGATCTCTCTCTGTATGTGTGTGTAGCTGTGGAGCAGAGGTCTGCTGTGGGACTCCCTCCTCGGGGCAGCTCGACTCCAGGCGTCCGAGTCTGAGAGGAGTCGGAGACACGTGATCAACCTGCGAGGCGGGACGTCGCGCTCTGGACCTGGAGGTCGGGTCCACGTTGAGATGTCCTCCAGCCTCTGCCTCACAGACTTGTGACAGAGACTGTCGGGCTGCTGGAGTAACGTCGGGAGCTGATGGGCAAACTGATGAACTGTGACGAACATAAAATGCAAATGGACAGAACATCCGTTTATTTATTGTAAATTCTTTTGTTCCTTTTTTTTATGGTTTTACTGGATTTGTTTTTAGTGATTATTTAAAAAAGTGGAGGATATGCGTAAAAACTGCTTTTTCATTTTCATACAATTAAATGTTCAACACTGAATGGTTGTCTTTTCTTTATATAAAGAATTGTAAATATTTGATCGTAATAGTTTAATATAACCAACACAGAAAACTACGTTTACTGTTAAAGACCTGAAGTTACAGACATCAAAACACTACGTCTCTATTGTAGGAATGCTGAGTCAGCATTTTGGCTTCATTTCTGCACTTTTCTAACTTTAATTTAACTACTTCTTCATATTTTGTGCTATTTTAGCCACTCGTGTCAAAACATTCAACTCATTCAGGAGATATGTGCCATGACTTTTGGATTTTGTAATTTTTATACTATTCAAAATATTGAACTTTATTTACATCTTCCTCACAGAATTTCATGGAGATCTCTTCAGTTCTTTTACAGCTAATGTTCCCTTTTGAAAACTGCTTCAGCTGTTTTTGCCTTTCCTATACAGTACTACTTTATGATTTTAGCTATGATGTTGTTACTTTTAGCTTTTAGCAAATCTTTTGAAAGACATAGCTGTTGGCTAGTCTTTTGATAGACGTAGCTTTTGGCTAGTTTTTTCATTCAACCTTTATTTATACAGGCTAGACTCATGGAGCCATGGGGACTCATTTACAAGAGAGACCTGTCAAAGATAGAACATATAAAGTACAGACAACAAAACCGTAGACAATGACAACAATAAACTACAGTAAAAATGCAGTTAATAAGAGTAGTGTACAAAACAATGAATCAGGGTGCCATAAATAGTCTTTTGATAGATGTAGCTTTTGGCTAGTCTTTTGATAGATGTAGCTTTTGGC